CAGAAAAAAGTATCGTCTTATAGTCGGAAAAATACGGTATATGGGTAATGCCAATAAGACATGGCAATCCTTTACTGAAACTGTTGTGTAAATCTTTGTATTCATATGCACATGAATGAAAAGCCCTCATATATAATTTTTGTTGTTTTGCTCTATTTCTTTCTTTCCTATTTTTCTTTTCTTTTTCAGTTAATTTTTTTTTTAATGTATGTCACAATTCTTGTCTTTGCTGCTTTGAGATTTCAGTTCTTAAAAGTTAGACAATGACTTTTATAAATAAACTTCTGAACCCATTTTGAATTTTCAACAGTGAAAGGCAAGAATATATATTTTCTATTTCTTAATATAAAATGTGTTGGAGAGGCCTGCAGTACACGCCTGTACTTATCATCAACCTCTTACCTATAATACAGGTTAAGAACAATGATTTACTTCACCAGGCTCTGAAAAGGACTATAAAATACTTATGAAGCACGTTAAATTAAGTAGTTAAATAGCTCTGTATTTTATCCGTATTTGTATCCACACTGGATAATGTTATGCTGCACTTGTAGTATTCGATAATTTTTCACACGAACTTATACTGCCATGGATCTTATCCTCTTACAAACTAGCCAAGCTCGGGTTCATCCATTTTCTTTCCATCAGATGTCAGTAAGCTTAGGTTTTACCACTAGTGCTTATATTTATAATGAACTTTGTATTAATAAAGTTAGAACTAAATGATTCTTGGAAAATAACAAAATTAGGTACCAAAAATGCATAGCAAGAAAGGAAGACAACCCAGCTGTATTAATGGATAATAAGAACATAAAAATAGCTCATACAAGGACCATTTGCTCCAGGCTTCTATTTTCAAATGGCTGATCTTCTGTCCTGAATTAGTTCAGATGCCAGTCAGTAACAAAGCCCTAAAACAGAAGACAAAGAAGGGACAAGGTTCCATAGCTACTCTTTATTAAATAATGCCATGTTTGACCAACACAAGTACAAAATAATTACACAGATTTGATCTTTCTCAATGTATTCTTTACAGCATAGACTCAGAATGAGACCTTAAAGTTACGTATTGTTTATTAACACTGGTATTCAACACAGCAAATGGGATTGTTCAGAAAATGATAAATCAGAAGATTTTCCACTGAATATAGAGATCTGATTCGGCATCATTTTATTAATTTACATAATAAACAACATTAAACACATCCACTATGGTAAGTTGTTGGGTAGTAGTTTCATTAGTGTCCACCAAAATGCCACCAAACCAAAAGAAAAAAAAAAAAGACACCAAACATTTTAGTTTATATTTGTAACATTCTGGTTAGCTTTAACAATAAATATTGCCTAGTGTGGATTTTGGACTAATTTCTCTTGGAACATTGTTTTTTTCCATTAATGTATATACATTTTATATTTGAATACTTTTCCCAGTATCCAGAAGAAACTTAATTATTTTTTAAGTACACAGTGTAGCTTAAACATAACAGTTAAATGAATCCAAAGTTTGACTTTAGAAATTAGGAAAAAATGCCTTATATCAAGTCAGGATATTTATCTGTCTAGCTAGCACTCAGACTGTGTTCAGCTTTTCACACATTTTTTAAACGAAATAAATGCATTTGATAAAAGAAGTTGGCTACAAAATACAGGAAATCAAGTTAGTAAAAACTGTTAAGCAAAAAATAAACACACACATGAACATAAAGTCATTATGTTGCATTTACAGGAATAGCAGAATCAAGAGGAGGAGTTAGTAAGATGATCAAAGCAATATTGCTTTTGTTAATTATGCAAATAGATGTTTATGCAAATTTTTCCAGATGTTATATGAGGATGGTGCTTGTTTATCTGGATTGAAATTGATCCTAGCAAAAAATATAGCATTGCATTAAGGCAGCCTTAGTCTAATTATCTTCTACATTATCTTATTTATCATTACTTCCTTTGATGAACTAGTATTCTAAAGCTGTTTGCCTCAGGAATTAATAGGAAGAGGTGAAGTGCTCAGAAGCTGCAAGCTTAGCTGCAACCAATAAGAAAATAATCAAATCCTTGTCCCAAAAGTCCTTATTATGTTCAACTAAAATATTTAACATCACCAGCATTTGATTGTTTAGCTCCATTCATATATTTTTTAATCAAGACCCAAAATTTACTAACAAGAAATCCCAGGGCTGCAGGCTAGACTGTGAAGTTAGAAGAGCATTGTAGAAAGCAACAGGGTCAAAGCACTTCCATATTGTTGCAGTGAAAACCACAGACGTTTGTTGAGCTTAACTCAAGAGTCTACACCTTAAAGGTCATCAAAGATGCTGTTGCTCTCAGCAAACTTCTGTTTCATCTTTTCCTCACAACCACCTTGGCTCAAAACTCCATTTTGTTAACAATATATAGCATGAGCTAGGACAAAATGTAAACTTAGTTTCCCACTGAAAGACTATTAAAATGAATAAAACTCTCTAAACACTGGCATAGGAGTTCATGAAAGCAGAATTCCATCAATTTTGGTAAAGATCAGAAATGTGGTAGCATCCTTTCAGACTAATAAAATTTGTTCTCCTCCATAGCTCTCCTCCTATAATGTCCATCAATTCCACTGTGAGTCCATCTTCATTAGGCTTGATCTCTTTCCTAACAGCCATTCTTCTAGAGATGCCAGAATCATCATCAGTCTTGCTGATGGGCTTTCCCATTCTTTCCATCAGCTGTCATTCAGAAGATGTGGCAGATGAAACAATAGGAAAGAACCTCTCAACTGAGAAACCAGCAATTTCCAGCCCTTCCTTCCATTGATTTCATAAGCCATGATGGTAGTGGTGATAATGATGATGGTAATTACTAATTTTGTTGTGTTGGAACCATTACAACATTAATGTTCTATTACAGCTGATCTTGATAGGAATGCTATTGCTTAAAGAATTGATAGCTGAATATTAAGGATTTCTTTTGCCCTCCATACTGCCTTGCAGATTTGAAGTCAACCATCACTTTTGAAATATCAGCAGGAGTATGTGGCACTTTTTCTGACAAACAAATTTTATTAAAAAGCATAAACTTTCCTACACTCAAACTAGGTTTTCTTCCTATTCACTGAGAGCTCACTTCGTCTGTAATAAGATTTCTAGCTCCCTGAGCATATGGGTCACTGACTCATAGAAATATAGAATAAAAACATGGTTTCGTTGCTAATTAAGATATTTAATAAAAGCTGGAGGGAGATGACAATTGAAAGAAGTCATCAGCAGGTGGGCAATGGATTATCCATTGTATTTTTTCATTTATGAAATCTGTACACCACCGAATCCATATACACTTGTGGCAGTTTACATAAGGTCAATCATTAAAACACTCACAGTAAATATTTAACTAAAATATCCAGAGTAAACAATGTAAAGGGATAAAACATATTCAGTAATCATCCAAAATAACAACTTGTTCATGATAAACAATTAAACAAACATCCACAATAACATCACCATAAAATAAGAAATCGGTTAATCTACAGTTCAGGGAGCTAGTCCACAGGTGGCAAGGGAAATGTTAGACAACACCCTGTCTGCTTCATTAAAGTCCACAGGTGAAAAAGAGTTTTTTTCTCTCACAAGAGATCATTCCAGGATTCTGGCAAACCTGAGTGCTTTTGTCAGCAAAATGCTATGAAAAATGGTCATCAAGGTCAGGTGGGAGATCTGCTGTTTTCCCCAAGAGGCAGTTCACAAGCTAAACAAGTCTGGTTGACAACAACCTGCCAATGCGCTAATGCAGATGACCTGGGGACAAGCAGGTAAATTCTGTCTCTCTTCCATTTCTCCTTCAGTCAAGGCAAATGTAGTTCTTCTGACAATAAGCCATCCAGTCTTCACAATCCCTCAACATAGGTGAGTTTACTGTACTATATGTACTATATGTGAATGGAAATTTTCTGTACATCAATTTGCTTGGGCAGCCCCCAAATCTGAACAACCATGAGGTTGTGCAGTGATACAGTTGCTCTTCTCACAAAAGTTAAGAGAACCATGCAACCATGATCTTATTAAGAGTTAAGACTACCCCCAAGTGTGTTCTTCAAAGTGATCTGTTAAATGTTCTAGGTCTGTAATTATCTTGGAAGAAAAAAATAAAGTTTTGAATAAGCTGCGGGAAGGTCTAACTAGCATTGCTGTTCATACAAGAAAAATGAAGAAGTTATAAATGTGTATGTAAAAAGTTGAACAGCAACTTCACTTAATGTTTTCTGTGATCCAAACATAGAGAACTCAACATTTAGATGGAGGATCGGAGCCAGAAGAAAATGCCACTATATTTATGTAATTATGAATAAATTAAGAAATTTCATCGACATTTTGTGGTCACTATAAGAAATAGGGAACCTAGCATGTTTATAGTCAGCAAAGGTTGGTTTGAAAACATTTGCATAATGTGGAGTTACATGGACAGTTATCATCAGATCATGAGGTATCATCCAAATGAAAGGTGATAGAATGAGCTGTTTACCCAAAGAATTGTATAATGCTGATGAAAGAAGCCTCTTTTAGAAACTCACACCCGAACATACTACTTAGAAGAGTCATAGCATATTAAGGCTTCTAAGGGCAGGCTAACTCTTCTGTTACGTGGCAATGCTTTGAAGATTTCAAGGGGATGCTTTTATATTGAGCTTAACCTGAATGCTCTTAAGGGCAAGAGCAAGAGTCATTTCCCCATTTTTGGGAAAGCAAATAAAAAATCATGGGTAAGTGCTGTTACGTCGCAAGTGAAAATACATGCCAGTCACAAAGTATAGTACCCAGATGTCAATCATGCAACCATGGGACACTGCATCGGTCCTAAATGCATGCTGCTTGCAAAGTACCCAAATGTAGATCACGTGACTGCGGGACATTGTGATGGTCGTAAAAGCCCACTGTTTGTGAAGTACCTGAATGTTGACCATGTGACTGCGGGGATGTTGTGACAGTTGTATGTTTTAGGACCAGTCATAAAGTTACTTTTTCAGTACCGTCATAACTTTGAATGGTCGCTAAACAGGACAGTTGTTAACTGAAGACTACCTGTAGAGATATAACACACATCCACCCATTACTCTCAAGATTATCAGGTCATATTGGTAAATTTTATGCCCACTTATTATTTCTGGATGACTCTTTTACAATTCATAACACAGCTATTTTATGCCAAGGAACAGAATATGACCAACAGTATTAACTAGCCTGAAAATACTCTGTATCTTAGTTATTTAGCTTTATAGCTTCTTCAAGTGATAGTTTTATAGTTTTTTACATAATATTGACTACTATTTTTAAATAACTATCTTAATCTAATTAGATATTATTTTAGGTTAGATTTAAGCACTTCGATAATATTTTATAGAATTTAGTTTCATAGATCTTATAAAGTATTTATATGTGAAGTCCATTTTCAGCTAGAGCAGATAATTCCATGTCTTTATGTTATACAAAGACTGACATAAAAATTAATTGAATGTTACACATCCAATATGCATGGTCTTTAAGTGCCTCGCCACATTTAAACTTTTAAAAAAGTGTTTTTGTCTATTCTCAAAGAGAAGCAAACCACTAGGTATTTTATTAATTATAATAATGTTGCATCTGCCAAAACAATCTCTAAAAGTAGCCATTTAATTGCTCACAGAAAGAAACAAAAAAGTTTACATTACTCAAAGTAGAAAGATGGTGGTTTAGACACTATTTCACAGAAGCTACAGAGAGAGAAAAAGAAAAAAACTGAACTATAATTAGTATAAATCTGGGAAATTGGCATAGTCTTAAATTTACAAAGTTCCGCAAGTTTCCAACAAAACAATCCAGAGTTGTAACTAGTATTCATAGTGTACAAATTGATGTTGGCCACATTATTTCTGTGGTAGGCAAACAAAGTTACTGGCTCTTATCCTCTGGTTTCCGAATGTTATGTTAGCCTACTGTACAGATAAAGCCACTGTGGAATCAATTTCTAGTGCTTTCAAACATTCTCATAATGGTATTAAAGTGTTAAAGTGGTTCTTCCTCCTTCTCCTGTTTTAGTCTTTTGGAAAGATGCTCACTAATGATTGACAGAGGGTTGGCTTTGAACAAAGGGTTTGATATAGTATTGTGAAACTGTGTTACTTCCTCCTCCCTGGAAAAAAAAAGCAACAAAAGAGGGAAATGTATCAGTTAATTTGTTGGCATTACACTACAAGTTTGAAGACTGCAGTGCTAGGGATGCAGAAATCTCCTAACCAAAAATTCACAGTATTTTAGTAAAGCAATGTATTAATATATTCAGGTGTGACTAACTTGACACTAACCAAACTGCTAGCACATATCACAATGCACTGAATACTGTAGGAAGTTATATATACATGAATTATTAGGCCACGCTAATCTCCCATAAATTGTGATGACAATGGGGATCAGTTGTAACAGACTCTTTGAATTAGAGCCACCAGGAAGCAAGGTATGAATCTCACTTGTGTCCCCCACTTGCAGCACTTTGCTTTCCCTATTAGCTAATTCCCTTCTGTGGAGAAAGAATAGCACATACCAACTAAATCAGTTCTTTTCTTGCAATTGTACATACCAAAGTGCCCAGGAGCTTATAAACAAGGCCTTCATATCCAAGAATATCAAGTATCAGATGACACACTAGGGCACCTTTCCTAGGGTGTCTTGAAAAAGGTAAGAGCAAACTTTGAAATATCTAGATCCATAAAAAGAGATCACTAAGAATTATGTTTTAAATAAATCCTATTGCCAGCACTCTCAACATATACTCTTATAATTTAGAAAAATTAAAGTCACATTAGCAAGGGACAGCTGAGCTTACCCACTGTCCTGTTGTTTGTAAATGTATGTATGTATGTACGTATGTAATGTTAATGCACTTTTACAGGACTGTTTCCATTGGTGTCTTCCTTAGCGGAAAATGCTTCTACTTATCTAAATTAGAGCTTGATTTTGTGAATCTCTACATAGCCACATAAATCCATTCCCTCAGAAGCAAGATGCTCTTGAGGGTTATAAGCCCTCCAGAACAGAATGGGATGAGGTCCTAGTACACAGGACATACCTTCCATTAATCACTACTAATTTTTATGAGCAGAAGCACTTTTTTCCTATGGCAGATTTTGCATTCCACATACAGTCAGGTCCAGAAATATTGGGACATCGACACAATTCTAACATCTTTGGC